TTTAAATTTTATTTTCAAGATATTAGGATCAATATTCTAAATGATTAAAATTATAGAAACTAAGTTGTAACGAGTTAAAGTTAAGAGATTAAGTTACAATCGATTCAAAACTATAAAGATCAAGTTATAACAAGTCAAAATTTAAATGTTGAGTTATGTAACATACCAAATTTTAATCCTTGAATTACTAAGGAATTAATCAAATTTAATTATAATAATTGAGTAATTTGATATGATGTGTGGCCAGAGAGGTTTAATAAATGAAATCAATTGTGATTTTAGCCCTAATTACGGGTCTGAAGTGAAGATGAGCCACCTTAGGCATTAAAAAAAGGACAAAAATGTGAAGAATTATCTCTATATCACATGTTATAGCGTGCAGCACATCCACCGTGGTGCACAGACAACAACTAAGGAATGGCTTCTTTGTGCCATGTGCCATGGTGCGTACTATGTGTGTAGTGGTGCATGACCCTTTTTCTGTAGATGTTAAGTCACAATTCTAATGCAAAAAATAGAGAAAAGAAAGAGGGAGGGGAGAAATAAATAGGGCTCTACTAGGGCATGATACTAGACGGAATTTGAGTGAGTTTGAAGTTTCAAGTCACCTAAACTAAGATTCTTAAACCCTTTCCTTCCTTTCTCTTCCATTTTTTCAAAGATTTAAGTTAGGGTTTAATAATGGGGGGTGATTTTCAGTCCATATAAGTTATAGGTTTGAACCCATTACTTAAGTAGAGTCAATGAGAGTAGGTTAGGTTGTTTAAACCCTACATTAATAATTTTATAAGCTTTTGGTTGGTGAGATGAATTAATGTCTAAAAATGGACATTTAATTTGAATTTATGAAAGTGGTCGAGGCATTTATGGCAATGTGGATACTTAATAAAGCTATATAATGTTAAAGATAGTTAATAAATTTAATGGATAAACCTAAAAGAGAGAAGTAAGGATGTTGGGTTTTATAGAAGTGAAAGTGTGAGAGTTGAAATTGTGTGCTTGACAATGTTAATGAGTTTAGAAATTTATTTAATTACATTATAGATTAAGCATTTGGGCACCATATTTGCTTATAAATCAAGCTTGAAGCTAATTATTGAGGGATAAACATTTGACCTCTTAAAGGTTTGAGGTAACTGGGAGAATCCTACGTTGGATAGTTGTTTTAATTGAATGTTAATTGTGAAAATGTACATATTGACATGTATGATTTGATTATGAATGTGAAGCATGTCATGATCATTAATGATTGGTTGAATTGTAAATATGCAATGTTTTATTTGAGCTTGAAATATGTAATTGATGTCAAAATGATTTTCAAAACTATATATATATATATATATATATGTATATGTATATGTATATGTATATGTATATCTCTTAAGATGAGAAATGTGATGTATGGGATGTGATGAGTGATCTGTTGATAAAGAAAATTGATGATTTAGTAAAGTGAAGAATAGTTGTGAAAATATTATGGATGCTCACTTGGGTAGCGTATTATTGTAAGCCCAATGTGCTAATAATGAATGAATAAACTTGTAAAATGAGTGAGCATCATAAAATGCATGATCAGTTAGTGGGAGTTCGTCTAAGGAGAAAAGTAACTAAAATTTATATGATATTTTTGGCTGCCTTCTAGTGCATAAGGATATAGTCTTATCCTATAGTTTGTCAAGGGACTGTCTCATAATTTGTCAAGGGACTAAAACCTAGCTATCTCCACTAGTTTATTGAGGAGGTTAGCTTAGGGTATACGACACTTCAAAGATTCACGAGTGGGGGAAGCCATGGTCCAAGAGGGAGTCCTATGATCTTTGGCTAAGTCACACCTCACAATTGGTGAGCTTGGGTGGTCCAGTCATATGAACGGATCCCTATCTAATGTTACAGCCCACTATTTCAATCAGGGGAAATAAGAAGGGTTTGATCATGCATATGTGTTTATATGGCGTGTCACATGGTTATTTAAGTTTATGGAGTCATGATAATAAATTGGATCATTGTCATATGTCTGCATGTCTTATGGCAATATACTATGTGATTGAGATGAGATGAGTTAATTAAGAAATAATAATTTATGTTGCATGTGTTAGTGTATATTTTGAGAAAAATCATCTTCAATTTTATGTGTTTATTCAATTGATATACAAATGCATAGGGTGGGCTTACCCTTTTTCTTTAACATTTTACAAGCTTTAGCTTTAGTACTAAAAAGAAAAAAACTCATGAGGTGTGGGAATTTGAGTATTCCTATTATATGCCTCTTGAATTATTTTATTTTGTGTAATAGTTTAAATATTGCCAGTTAAGATGCATTTTTGTTTGCACTTGCACTATATAGTTTTTCGTGACATCTAGATGTATTTTAGGCTTTAGGATGCTGCTTATGATAAATTGTAAATGTGAATAGGACTAAAATACTATTACAAATATATGAATGTTCATTTGATTATAACAGTGCATATTTTGTTGAAATGCAATGTTAAAAGCTCCCTCTTATGTTTTTGGTATTAAAGGGGTTAAGGAGTGAAATTTTAATATAGTGGTGTTTTCATACATATGGTGTGTTATACAAGTAGTCCTATGTTCAATGAATATGGTCTAAGTGTTAGAAATAGCTTTTGGCACTTGTATGAGGTTTTGGACACCCTTTTGTTGTGAAAGTTGAGAAAAGTTATAAAAATGTGCTTAAGTATCCAACTTCTTAGTATGACCTTCTTTGGAAGGGAAACCCATACCAATAGCTAGGTTATGTTTTCATAGATACCCAGATCATCTCATTCAGACGCCGGACGAAGAAATGGGGCATGCCAAAAGTTGCCTGGATTTTGCTGCCAAATGACATCAGAATCACTATCATGAACTTACAACATGCAGTAGCATGTCTAACAGAGAGTGATGAGCCACTGCGCATGGTGCAGGAGCCACTGCACATTGCTCTGTTTCAGTAATTTGAGATTTTTTTAACTGTTTTCAACTTCTTTCACTCTTTTGAGATATTTCATATTTTTGTAACATGATTTTACTCTTATTAAAGGTTTAATGAATGGGTTTAACTCATTTTAAATTATGAAAAACTTGAGATTCCATTTTCTTAAATTATAAACTTGGTAATCTCTTTATGAGTTAATCTCTTGATTACCTCATTGATAGTTAATTGTGTTTAAATAAGTAGATTTTTCAAGTTACACAGAAGTCAAAATTACAAAAACCAAGTGTTTAATTTTTCCTATTTTATTTATAGCTTATAATCTTATATATTGATGTTGATTATTAATTGATTCGCCATAATTAATTGAGTCAGCCTAAATTGATGAAGGCTAGAACTCCAATGTTTTTAATTGACTTTGACCAAACGATCAATAACCGTCGTCCGTGCTTTGTTTCTATTGATTTATTTCTTTCTAAGTTTCCTTCCATTGATCTACAAAGATAATTTTGTTTTATAGCCTGAGATTCTCAAGGATATGATACCAAATGAACTTTGAAATTATTTAATTAATATGTCACGATAGTTAAATCACTATCATTGACGAGTCCTTTAAACCAAAAAAAGAACAAAAAAAAAAGAGTCAAACAACTGGTAAGGATTGAATTGATATGAAGATCTGATTTTATTAACAAAGAAAATAAATGAGCATAAGAGAAATTTAAAGTCTAGTCATAAAACTACCTATGTAAAGCTTAGGTATAACTAGCTTTAGTTCTCATCATACAGATGAGTATTGAGAGTTCATTGCCTCTAGATTATTTCAATTTATAGTTTTTCAAGAGGTATTTTTTAAATAATTTTTTTAAAATTGTCAGAAATTGTCATTATTTTATATTTTGTATCTGTTAAAATAATTTTTTTAAAAAAATAAAAGTAAAAAGCTATAAATCTGAATCATCTAAATCAAATTTGAAAGTGATGAGCTCTTAGTGCTCATTTGTATGATAAGCACTGGTTTTGAATATACGAGGTATAAGTGGGAAACTAGTTTCAGTGCTCATCACTGAAAGCGCATTATCTATGAACTATTCAAATCTAATTTTTATGGTCTACATTTACAATTTTTCAACAGGTGTTTTTTAAATAAAAAAATTATTTTATAAAAAACTAACAATTAGAAAATTGTCTTTATTTTAGATTTTGTATCCATAAAAATATTTTTTAAAAGAAAATAAAAATAAAGAGTTGTAAATTTAGACCATCTAGATTAGATTTCAACGGTTTAAAAGTGATGAACTCTCAATGTTTATATATTTGATGAGCACTAAGAAGAGGGAACCAGTTTTAGTGCTCATTATATGGATAAGCATTGAGAGCTCATCACTTCTAGACCATTCAAATTTAGTTTCCATAGTCTAATTTTACAGTTTTTCAACAAGTATTTTTAAATAAAAAATTATTTTTTTTTGAAAAATTGATAGTTAAGAAAATGTCTTTATTTTAGATTTTGTATCCATTAAAATAACATTTAAAAAAAAAGCAAAAAGCTATAAATTTGAAACATCCAAATTAGATCTAAACGATTTAGAAAGAACAAGCTCTCAGTGCTCATCTATATGATGAGCACTCAAACTGGTTACCTGAGAAGAGGTCATCAAGGTTGAAGTCAAAAGTTATATATATATATATATATATAAACAATCTGTATAAATAAATATTATATTTACCACCTGAATATTCTCATTCGACATTTCTTTTATCAATCAATTTTATTGGTGGAACATTAATTTTGTATACATTTTTATTTATTTTCTTTGGGGGGGGCGTGGAGGCCCTCCTTAATTTAAAAGGTGCAATCTATTAATTCAATGTATATATAATTGACCTTTTTTGGCCTGAAAATGTAAAATCAACAATGAATCTGTATCATTCATTAGGTCATATCTCACATTAATGGCCCAACAATCCTCCGTATTATATATATATATATATACAAGCGAACCAAACGCTTTGAGAATCACTCTTCACCAACAGATATCAAACAAAGTGACATTAAGCAAAAAATATGATTTCTCTCATTTTCTTCATTGTCTTCCTCTTCTCATCGTCACCCTCTTTCCAAGCTTCTGCTTTAGATTTCTGTGTTGCAGATAAAGCAGGTCCGATCGGTCCCAATGGATTTTCTTGCAAAGATCCCAAGAAAGTCACAGTGGATGACTTTGTTTTCTCTGGCTTACATGTTCCCGCCAACAGCACAAACTTGTTCAAGTTTGGATTCAAACCTGTGTTCGATGCTCAGCTTCCTGGCCTCAACAGTCTTGGATTCTCCATCGCTCGTGCAGACTTTGAGAAAGGTTCAGTTGTGCCGGTGCATTCACATCCTGGAGTTTCAGAAATCACTTTTCTATTGGAAGGAAAAGTAAACTTCGGGTTCATTTCATCAGACAACACAGTGTATCAGAAATCTCTCGTCAAAGGAGATGTTTTCGTTGTTCCTCCTGGTTTACTGCACTTTGCCTTCAATGAAGGTACGTACATAACATAACACTGATGAGTTTTTTTAGTGTTCATGATCATCATCATCTTCGTTGTTATTCATTAATTAATGCTATTAATTTATTCGTTTCAGGGGACACTTCAGGAACAGCAATTGTAGGGTTCAGTAGTTCAAGCCCTCCGGTTCAAGTTTTGGACCTCGCACTGTTCCAAAGTAAGTTGGCAACTCAAGTGGTAGCATCGACCACTTTGATTGATGTTAATGAAGTGAAGAGACTTAAGGGTGTTTTTGGAGGCTCGGGATGATAAAGTATGAGAAAATTATCGTTTTCAATAATTTGTCTTATCGTTGTAATAGTTACCTCAAAGCATATTTGGCAATGCAATTAATATAATGGAGAAAAAACGATTCGAGTATAAAAGAACATTTCTTTGATTGCGTACAAGATAATTGATTTATTTTAATTTCATAAGAGTAGATTTAATTAAAGGAGAATACCTCAAAAGAAAAATGAAATCAAAAATGCATGAGACGTGGTAAAAGATCGATCAGTCTTAAGTCTTATCGACATAAAATTTTTAATTTCATTAAAAATCTTAACAAAAAAAAAAGTTGAGTAAATCGAATATACTGACTTCATTTCAATATTATTGTTGAAATTATAGCAATATAATCTTCCATTTTTAAAATCTGTACATACCTTAGTCCATCAATTTCTCATTTTATTATGATATTCCATTAAAGAGGAAAGATACTTTTTATTAATTTAAATTCATATAAAATAATTTCAAATAATTAATTTGCCCTTAAACTTAAAATTTCTCATTCTAACCATGTTTCCCTTAAAACTCTAGACGACGCTGAAACCTCATTGAGTTCTTCTGTCTATACTACAAGGCCACTTTCTGGTTCTCATTAATAAATTCTGGGAAAACTCCGGAAGTGTGTTTTTGGTCACGGGAATAATTTATTTATAGTTTACTAATTTCATCTGATGTAATGTAATTTCAAATTTATAATTTTATTATTATATAGCGTATATAACTGAAATAACGAAACATAACATCAAGCTCTTTCCTTCTCTCTAGCAGCCATTTAAACAAACCTTTTTACGTCAATTAATAAAAAATTGACTTTAACCAACAACAAAAGTTAGTTTAGTCTTTGAATCAAATTCCATTATTAATGTGAAGACCCCATTGATTGATGATTTGATATGTAGATTGATTGTATAAGTATTATAAGGGCTCTTGACATGCTTTGGCCCTGATGACAGTGACGAGTTCTCAAAATCTAACTCATTTAAATTTTTATTTATATAAAAAAAAAAAAAATTGACTGAAATAAACAAGCTTTGGTCAACATGCCAATAATGGCTTCCTGCTAATTAATTGGACGACAGTGCCTACTCAATCTCCCGCACCCATCATCCTTCGGAGTTCCGCAGGAATGAGTCCCTTTCACTAATTAATGCATTCACACAAAGTCTCATCGGACCTTGCGATCTGCAATTCCCTGCTTATGAACTCTGGAATTCAGGCTCTACATCTCGAGGGCCAACTATATACTATACATACGTTCGTGTGTCCCAGGAAGCGCATCCTTTCACGTAAGTCTGTATCAAAGGTGTGTTTATCGGCTTTATATTAAAGGTTAAAAGATAAACATTAATCTGCATGAAATTTTGCAAAATATGATAAATCATAAGATGATTATAGTCATTATTAATTAATTTGATATGATATATAATTGGTTGGTCATAACCGTGTATTTCTATTAGATTAAGATATGTAACCAAAGTTAATTTATCTTTTAATATTTTTGGTACAATGAATATATATATATATATATATAATAACATGAAGTGACTCCAGCCAAGCTTGCAGCTTAATTATGGTTATGGATAAACCTCATGCATATGCTATAATTTTATGATAATTGAAAATATGAACATATATAGACGGTATTTCTATGAATCTATAACACAGCTTGCTAAGTAATTTCATGTCATCATCATTTGGCCAAGTAGGAAAATGCATTAGATTGACGATAGACATCATGTGACTGTACGTTGATAGTTTGATGTGATCTTCATGATAATATGATGAGAACATAGTCAAAGGTTTCAGGATAAACATAATCTACAAGAAGCAAAATCAGCTGCTGAAAATGGATCATAAGATGATTATAGTCATCATTAATTAGATATAGTTAATTGGTCAAAGTCATGTATATGGGATCATACTTGTCTTCTGCAGGTTCATGTCCTCTGGCCTCTCCAACGTAAAGTAGCCTGTGTCAGCACAAAATATTATACTCTACGCTGGTCTAGAGAAACTATAGGTCTTGCATTGTCAACTGGAGACAAACGAGATCCTTGTATATGTTAATTAAACATAGATATCTACAGATATAAACAAAGTCAACGCATTCTTTGATATTCTTTATATATGAGTATAATATATTCTCCTTTTTTTTAGAAAAAGATCAACTAAATATAATATATATTCTCGGTGGTTATATAGATGAATAGCATTTCACTTAACGAAATAAATTAAATTGGATTCATGAATGTGAGAAAATAGTAAAACATTATCTCTGTGATAAGTTGCGCCATGCATCAAGGGTATAAATAGGGTTATAAATGCCACTATCTCATTTTGTAGCTTAATACTAAGGAAGAGAAGGTTAAGGAATAATCTCAATTTTCTCCTCCTTCATAATTTATAGAAAATCAAGATCTAGAGCTGTAGCTTGAAATATATGTTCTACCTTTTTCTTTTTTGTTTTTTTTTTGGTGTAGAAACTCTCATCCGACCCATCTTGACCAATGGTTGAGGGTCCACTGCTCTTGTATATATAAATTAAACCTAATTGGTAGTAGTCTACCCTTTATATCCTCTGAATCTCAAAGGCAAAAAGAAAAGCTTCAATGAATGTTATGGTTTTCTTATTTATTTTGCATCTTTATTTTATCATTTTCTCAAAGATTTAAATACAAAATATCATTGTCAACGCCTAGCTAAATCAATGGCAGCATCACTTTCCTTGTTTGGAGGAAGATCTTAGATTTAACGTTGACATGTTTGTGTGCTTATATGAGTATATAAGTCTCCATGTTCTATGAGGAAGGATTAGGTTTAAGTATATAATTTTAAAAAAAAACACACAAAATATTATTCTGTAACTTTTACGAATACAAGACCGCACCCTAATTTTTTTTTTTTGTTGCCTTGTTTAGGGTTTTTGGACAGAATGATGAGACTTGTTCAAATCGCTATAGCCCTGTGCACATTAGCAGCGGGAATAGACGCAGCCGCTCCTATAGGTGTCAACTACGGAAGACTAGGAGACAACCTTCCCCCTCCGGCCGAGGTGGTGAAAATGTTCCAGCAAAACGGCATCACCAAGATGAGGCTATTCGACCCTGACGTTAATGTCCTTAACGCCCTCAGAAAGACCAACATTGGTCTCGCTCTAGGCATACGAAACCAGGATTTGCAGCTCCTGTCCACCAACGTGGACGCCGTCAACGGCTGGTTCGCCGCCAATGTCGAACCGTTCCTCAACGACGTCGCTTTCGAATACATCGTCGTCGGAAACGAGTTGGTTCCAGGGGAACTGGCCAACTTCATCCTTCCGGTGATGCAGAACTTTCAAGTCGTACTCGATGGTCGGAACTTGAGCAGCATCTCTATGACAACCTGTGTGGCTACGTCCGTCTTCGCAAATTCATATCCTCCTTCAGCATCTGTATTCGCAGACAATTCGAGAGAGGTCATGACAAGGATTCTAGGGTTCCTCGCAGCTCAACAAAATCCTCTTTTGATCAATCTCTATCCCTACTTTGCATATGCGTCTGATCCTGTGAATATACGCTTGGACTATGCTCAGTTCACAGCACCAGGCGTGGTGGTTCAGGACGGAGCTTTAGGATATACGAACATGCTTGATGCCATGATCGATGCGTTCTTCTGGGCGATGGAGAAAGTGGGAGTGAATAACGTTGGCGTGGTGGTGTCTGAGAGTGGATGGCCTTCTGGTGGAAATGGCGAGATCACGAATCCGACAATGGCTGCTACTTACAATAAGAACTTCGCTAAGCGGATCACAACACAGAATGGAACGCCAAAGAAACCAGACGCTGTGATTCCAGGTTTCATTTTTGCAATGTTCAATGAGAATCAAAAGCCTGCTGGCGTGGAGCAAAACTTTGGACTCTTCATTCCTACATCCAGGCAACCTGTTTATCCGGTTTTTCCTCTTTAAAGTGAAATTCTTGAAAATTTAAAAATGTAAATTTAAAAATGCTTGAAGCATATGATGCTTACAAGTGAAATTCATCAATAAAATATAAGTATCTAATTACTAAAAAAAATATAAGTATATTAAGTTGATTAATTTATACTTTTACATTTGAATATATTATTATAACGTTAAAAACATTATATTATAATTTTAGGAAATAAAAATTAATATTATGATTTTGTGAAACATTAAATATATTATTATAACGTTAAAATTATTATATTATAATTTACTCACCAAAAAAAGTTATTGTAATTTTACATGGACCATTGATAAGGTCATAAGAATTTATTTTTTTCAAGTTTTTAAAAGAAATTATTATTTTAATTATGGATTTAATAAATTGATTTTAATACTTCTAATTTCAACTGTCAGTTTTCAATTATTAATTTTAGGGTTAATGTGGAATTTGGATAGTTTAAGGGCGATTTAAACCATATACTCATAATTAATACTCCCTCCATTTAAAAATATAAGGCATTTTTTGAGAAGTTGGATATTCAAATGTGTAAGGCATTTTTAGTTTTTCGAGATATAATCATTATTTTTTTTCTAAAAGTGCACCTATTGATAGTGACTTTATATTTCTTATAGGGTGTTTAATAAGTGTAAATATAGAAAGATAAAGTTAATTTAAAATAGGTAACTACTTTACTAAGGATAAGATTCAGTTAAAAATACCTTACATTTTTGAACGGAGAGAATATATTTTAAACCTCGAACAATTAAAGTTAGAACAATCTTATCCCTACCATTAACTCGTAACTAGTTGCCATTATTTTAAGTATTGTAGGATACAAAATTTTTTTCTTTCTTTGCCTCCTAAGCTCACTCCTCCCTCCCCTCTCCTCTCTTCTCCCTCCTTCCCTCTTAGACTTCGATGCTATGTCCACCATGGCTGAAGAGACTTAAAACTCTCTCCTCTCTCCTCCTTTCATTGGACTCATAAGCTCCATGGTGATAACCATCAAAGCTTACTGCTTGCTAGTCTAACCTTCTACCTCATGCAACCTTTTTGTGAAATTGATGCCAATGCATTGTTCTCCTCCTCCTCCCCCCTCTTTCCCAGTCTCTCTCTCCTTATGCGGCAATGTTAGATCCTTGTCCACTAGAAAAACCTTCACCAAAGCCTCTACCTGATGTTATATAACAGGGACGTCACAACCTATACTACTTGAGATGATCGATGAGCTTCATCACTTCATTGAAATTTCATAGTTCCCCAACTGCATCACTCCTTATTCCTATGTTAGTTCTGCAACCTTTCTCTATAACTTCTACTCACCTCCTCATCCTCTAATTAAGTTCATCTCTTTCAAGTTCACCTTTAGAACCTTAAGCCCATCCATCTTCTTCTCTTCTTCAAAGATGTCACACATGTTTAGTAGAAAAGATAGTCAAAAAGGTAGCCAGCTTCTTCTTTGAACATGTCACAAATCCTTCTTCTTCTTTTCTTCGAATAGTTCAAGCCCTTCCATGCACTTGAGGATTGCATGGTCAGAAAGGCAACAATAAAGGCCTCAGCAGAGGTTGCTCTAGTGCAGAAGAATCTAGCATGGTCACATAAGGTGTTGTGCATGGATTTGATGATAAAGAATTGAGGGAAGAGAGAGATAAGGGGGAGAAAAGAGGGAGATAAATATGCCACCTAAAGGGGTGAGGGCCAAAGATAGAGGTAAAGAGGTAGAATTCATTGGCCTATAAAATTAATGTTTATTTCAAATTAATAGCAGAGACTAGATTGCTCAAACTTTAATTTTTTAAAATTTAAAATGTACTAATTATGATTATATGATTCAAATCATCCTTGGATTATAGTTCAAAGTTTAAATTGCATATTAACCCAATGTTATCAAATTTAGATATTAAGTGCCATTTTTAAAATGTTTATTGTAAAATTCTTATCTTTTTTTTTTTTACCAAATTATGAAATTCATATCTATTAAGAAATTACATAAATATTCTATCAAAGAAAGAAATTACATAAATATATATAGAATTCTCATCACTTAAACAAGTAATTGGAAATTCGAACTCATATATGTAACAACTTTAGTTTAACCAAAACATAGACAAATATAGTTTTTGCTTTTCATCATTAGCAGAGTCATCAAGGTAATCTAGGATAATTTTAATTTTTTTTAAAAAAATAATAATTAGCAATCATTATTATCATGTAAAGCTAAATTTACACACACACACACACATTACAATTATAAAAATGTTTTCTAACAAAAAAAATTGTGCAAGTGTGTTTAATCCACATGCAAGCACATATGCATGTGATAGAATCAACTATATACCTTACACTTGTACCTTTATTTTAATAGGTTTGGTTGATCAAAATATAGGAAAATAATTGTGAGATATCTTTTAATTTATGGGAGTTTGGCATGTACATGGAGTTTATCAGATTCAAGTATTGTTTTTGACCTAAATATGATCTAATTCAAGTTTAAATATCAAATATGCCAATAAAAAACTTCAACCAAATTATATTTAATTAGGTCGTATATATGGGTTCCAAGTCTTGAAACTTAATAGTGAGGGATAATGTCAAAACTCGTAGATGTGATTTTCATGCAAATAAGCAAGTGAGGATTCCAAACGTTCAGCCTTTAAATGACATTATTATGTCATCTATAACGATCATCTCATATGCCCAATTTATGAGCCTTTGTTGTTGCATAACATCTGTTAAACCTCAGAGGGTTCACATTTACAGCACAGGATCACAACTAATACAGACTATGGTTACCATAGCTTCTTAAGTTTCATGTAGTAAATAGCCATAAGTAAAAACTCATAACTATATATAAGGGAGTTTATCACATGACCAAGGGCAAAAATTCATGACCATGTTACCTTGTCAAAGTGCTCTTTTAGATCTCAAACAAGGTGATTGAGCATTCTGGTAATTTCCATTTGTAGGTTCCTTCAAAATAACATTTAGTAACTATGACACAACATTACAACATTATACTATTCCCATTAATTTTGGTATGAGGGATCTAGATATTCTTTTGTGCAAGATATGTCCACAAACTCTAATTTATGTTTTCCAATAAGTGCAATCCTTATCACATGGCTTCAAATAATGTAGTTCTTTCAGGTAGTGACAACATGAGAAATCAAGCCAAGTTTGTGGCTTGCATATCAGAAGGGATGAGGAAGAGAGGGTGTGGGAAATCTAAAATTTATGTTGATAAGGTTCTTTACGTCTCACCTATCATTGATAGACTTGAAAACAATGGTTGTAATAATAAACTAATATAAGTTTAAAAGTAGGAAATTATTGGCTAATCTTCTTATAGTGACTAACTTTTTATTATGGTTTGCATAAGATCCTTGTTGAGTAAAGGACGCAAATGTTTGTATCCCTATATGTTTAGATGTTGTCCCCAATAAATTCAAGGGATTTCAATGTGAAGAAATTATCGTGGTGAATCAGGAACAAATTCAAATTACCCTAATCTCTAATTAGTTCAATTTTTGTTAGATTCTGGCAAAAACTTTCCCTGTACTTTTCTTCATAATATTTTATTGTTTTAAGTGTAAATTCATGGTTACCTTCATTGTAGATTAAAAGTAATCCAAGCTTCAATGTAAAGGTGGGAGTAGGTGTCATGGCCGTGACTTTGAATGGCATAGTGAAAGACAATGCAAAGGAAAAACCTGAATCTAATACCATGTAAACTTCTAGGTCCTAAATCAATATGAGTGAAATAATATTGATCTTTACAAGATTCACATACATTTAGGCTATTCCCTCATATATAGTTATAGGCATGTTTAGCATATCCTTATATGATATAGTTTCGATTATACTAATATTACGATGCTACTTTATTTATATCTACATTTTAGTATAAGAAATATAGGAGATATAGCTTATCATTAGGAGAAATTTTTATATGAACCTAGTGCACTACATTATCATAGTCTATCTAATAAATTGCACTAATTTGATCAAATAAAATCTTATATATCATTATTTTTTTATGAATCTATTTTTATAATAGAATACTTATTTACTTTCTCACCTTTTCTCTCTCTACTATTATTAATATTAGAATTAATTTATATTTAACGCCATCTAAATGTCATATTTTTATTTGTTGGACCATGGATGATGTGGTGCACCAAGTCTATCAAAAAATTTCTCTATCAATTGTAACAATCGAAATTTTAAACTGGTTTTTCTTGAAAATATAATTCAACAATCAAACTTTAACCATTAAACACATACCATGGTAGGAAAGTGTCTACCATGATGATAAAGAGTAAAACTTATTTTTTTTCGAACAATACCATGATATTAATAGGTTTACCATGATACAAAAAAGCAAGAGTTATTATTTCAAAACTCTATTATGGTGGAAAAGAGTCTACCATAGTAATTAAGAGTTAAAATCTTTTTGATAGAAGCTTACCATGAGAGAAAGAACTTTTCTTATAATTAAAACATTTCTCAAATTAGACTACCATGATAAAAAAGATTAAACATAGTAAATATACCTACCATGGTAATTTAAGAAGTAAATAAATTAAACAAATAATACCAAATGGAAAACTAAGTTAAATAAGTTGTACCTAATGGGATCTCATTGAAAACAAGTATTTAAAATCTAATGAAATGTTAAAAAGGGGTAATTAAAAGTGAAGCATAGTTTCCAAGGTGCTAAATTATTCAAAAATAAATTAAAAAAGGGTAAAAGTGTTAAAAGGACTATTTCAAAAAATATATAGAATGAACAAGGGCATTTTTGTCTAAGGAGCAACATGTGTTGTGGTATGTGTCTCATGTGTGATATTCTCCCCTCTGTGCCATGCACCGTGGCCAATGACACTTGCACTTTGGTACATGACATAGAGAGGATATTCTCCCCTCTATACTGTGTGCCATGGCCAATAATACATGCACTATAACACACAATGCCTAACAATTGTAATGACAACACATATAGTAATCTTAAACTTTAAACGAGTATAACTTTTCATACACTTGTTTGATTCAAGTAATTCAAGTGTCCACATGAAACTTATTATAAAATCTAGCTAATTTAGGGGAAAAATTCCTACCAAAAAAGGAGAATTATAACATATCAAATTTTTAATGTTGGAATTTCATTTATTAATGAGGGAAATTAGGAATTCAAGTGTTAATTGAATTAAATGTATTTTTGAATCACTATGAGATGTATTAGGACCTTGGATAACCTTAGGACTGGATTAAGATAGGTATTATTAGGCTAACTGGGCCAAGGTAAGGGGCCCAAAACATGGGCGTGTCATCCATCATAGTGCATGCATGGTTAGTAGACAAGCATTTTTATTTTAAATCAAATGCAAACCCGCATTTAAAACAAGAGAGAAATAGAGAGAAGGAGTAAGACACAATAGAGGAGAGCATAGGTCTGTTAAGGTTTCACTCTTGGACTATTTTGGATGCCTTCTAAGCTAGTTTAACATCCGAATAAGCTTCCTAACTGTTTCTCCTTTCCTCTATGCAAAGTTTCTTAATGTTTGGGTGTTTGAAGAAGATGATTTGACTCTGCCATGGTAGAAATGATTAAAAATATACTTATAAGGCACTATTATATTAGAAAAGTATGAAACATGAGTTTAATAAAGTGAAAACCTCATAATTTTTAATGAGACCCTAAAAGAGCAAGTTCCAATTCAATTTAAGACCAATTATAATATAAATTAGAGTATAAAAGTACACGGAAGCATGAAAATTTCACCTTATAAATATAATTATTAAAAATAATATTAAAAATAATTTCCTTAAAAGACTTGTGAGCACTTACTTACTAATTAACCCACTAATACTCACAACTTATCTCACATTTTAGTATAATCCTATCATACTTCTCATTCAACAAGCATAAACATGAATTCATCTTTTACTCAATTAACTAACCATGGCTCTCATAAGCTTGTACTCAAAGAGTTAGTTAATTTAATCTATCAAAAATACATACTCACAACTAATATGTACTAACATTCATAGTTAGCAATGTATAAATATACAAAATATAAATCTTCTACACATACACACTAAGGCATTACAAACAATTATTAATTATGTTCCTTTACTTCCTTTTTCCTTTGCATCTATGAAGTGTCACCTATAAAAATATTAGCAACGAGGAGTGAGATAAACATCTCAGTGACTAAGAAATTCCTAACTTCTAACATATATTCAAACAACATTTAAGGTTGTGTAAGTATGATAAACCCATACCCCGAATAACAAAATCACATATAATACTACATATTTACATAAATACACATGCACGATCATCTATCACCTTATAACATTATTCCTTCTTACTGAGTCCATGGGCTACCAAGTAACAAGACTGAGTTTAGATATCCTGACTTACCCCAAGCTCTCCAATATTTGAGAGGTAACCTAGCCAAAGGTTACTACTCTCCAAACTTAGACCATAGACTCTCCTGCCTACAAGGTGTCATATATTTGCTAGTACACATACCTACTCCCAGAATGAGTATTATCAGCTAAGCCAAAACCACACCTAACCCTTATCAAAGTTGGTGCAATAACTAAACAACTCTGGGCACTACCTAGATATTGTCCATACCACATGGACTTAAATATACTCTCTCAAATTGCATGGTGAACTCCCACCTATCTATGTCACACATGTACATCACATTTATGATCATGTCAGTCTTATATTCTCAACATTTTTATCACATATGCAAATCACATATTCATCAAAAATTCATAATTTTACAATAACAACAATTTATGATTCCACAATAATTCATAATATATCACATTCAATACTCTAGTTTATCACTCAAGCTTGCAATACATAAATCACATACACATACATCTTTTACACATTCTCATATATATGCATGTATGTGTAGTTCATGCTTAAACTTTTTTCCTCAAGAACATCATTTATAAAAAATATACAATAAATGCTAGAATTAATATATAAGGGAATTTAGGTTCTTGATTACCTCCACCCCTTGAATCAATCAAAATGAAAGGTAAAGCATGCTTCCACAGGGTCTCCAATCATGCACAACATCCACAAAATATTAATCTACAATCAACATCATAGAGTTTATCATTACCAATCATAGCTATATGCCCAATGCTACTCATGACCTAACATAACACTCTAAACTCATTCTGCCAATTAATTTAGAGTTTTTATTAACTTTATTAAATTCATAGGACCCCCATGAGTCTAACTAAACCAACTCTAACTCTTCGTAATCCATTATTTAACCTAAGGATTATTCATTAGGTCTAGGATTTCAGGTTAAATCTCATATGAAAGATGAAATTAATAAATTTTACATAAAAAACTAATCAAAGATCTAACTATTAAAAATAATAAATTGAATGTCACGAACTTGCTAGAAAAATTTTAGCCAAATCCAACAGTAAATAAATTTAAAAACATCAATTTACTAAAACTACTACGTGAAGATGCAAAACAACTATTATGAATGATGAAGTTAGGAAACTAATCAATAATCCAACCATTGAAAAGGATAAGTTAGATGTTATGAACCTTATGACCAAATTTAAGCCTGATCCAACGGTGAAAAGTTCATGAAGGTTGATTTATCAAGAACGCTCTCTATATATGTAAAAATAATTTTCTCTCTACTTCTCTCTCGAATGGCTATAACTTAATCTTGAATATAATATGACCTAATATAATCCCTATCCCTCTCTCCTCTACTTAGTGAAACTCATAGTGGACTTTAATATTGGGCCTTTCTTCACATAAAAAGGCTACCTAAACTTATTAATTTTAATTTTTCCCAAAATGCAATTTAATTAGTAATTAAACCTTATAATTTCCTTAAATTAAATTTCTAAATAAAAACTTAATATTATATTTTTAAATTAAATTCCTAAATAAAAATAAGACATTACAAGACTTGTTCACCACTATTAACAAGTTCAAGGACATCCATCATAGCTAACGTAACAATACGCTGTAATAAGCCTCTCTATGTCATGCCTCGTGGTAAAAGCATCATCCACCATAATGAACTACAATGCATAGCATTGAGGGAAAACTTTCAATGCACCTTAAGCTTTTGCCTGATGTTCAATTAAGGTACTCTAGGTGTCCACAAAAGACTTAGATAGTAAGCTAACTAATAGCCAGTTTCAATACAAAATTTCAACTTAATAAAAAGTTGGACACTAAGAACTAAAATTACTCCTTTATTACACTTAAAACATTCCAAAGGATTTAAAACTCACACCAAGTGCCAAAAGCCTAAAACACCTACCTAGATCAAGTCCCTATGAATTAAGACTACTTGTTCAATGCACCCAATCACAAATGCACCACATGCATAGCATTTTGATTCCTCAACCCCAATTTCAACAAAAACTATGGGAAGGTCAATATAACATGAATTCATGATCTAATCACTTTATAATCATCAAAAGTAATATCAGCTAACTCCAAACCTACTTACACTAGTGTTTAGACCTTGCATCACTTAAACAACACATCCTAGGGGGCTAAGGCACTAAATACAAATATCAATTATAGTTAACATGAATTGGTGCAAGTAAACCAAAAAATATGACCTAAGTTGGAAATGTATCATCATTAATTATACATGTAAACAAAAAGGAAAAGGCATATTGTAGGAATCACATATTTCTATGCC